TTAACAGTTACTGAGTGCTTACTCATGCTAGGCACTGTTTTAGAGTTTACACCTGTGAATAGGCCACAGCCTCTCCTGCCCAGCGCAGCTTCAGCTAGAGTAGGGAGTCTGGGGGAGGTCTGCCTGGCATCCTACTTCTGAGTGCCTGGCACATGGTGAGCGCTCAGTGAGTATTGCTGGCTGCTGTTCATTTTAAATATCTGTTACAAACCTGTTGTTGTTATTTGCTGTTGAGCAGACCCGACTCATAGCGACACCTCCTTGGGTTCCCAAGGTGGTATCACTACGGAAGTAGATTGCCCAACCTTCCTTCTGAGGAGTGGCTGGTGGGTTTGAACCACCAGCCTTCTGGTTAGCAGTCAAGTGCCTTAGGCACTATGCTACCAGAGCAACAACCCTAGGCAGATCATATTATCAATAGACACCATTTTGTAGATAGGGATACTCAATACTGAGAGGTTAAGTAACTTGCTCAAGGCCACACAGTCAGTAAAAGGCAGAATCTGGATTTGAATCCAAGTCAGATGACTCCAGAGCCTGCTTGATTCACCCCTAAGGAGGGGGGGAAAGAGCTCAGAGCTGGAGTCCCACCTACCTAGATGTCTGGGGCAGCTGCTCACCTCTTTCTGCTCTATTTACTTTGTTGTTAGCTGCCATCAAGTCGTCTCTGACTCACAACGACCCCATGCACAGCAGAACGAAACACTGCCTGGTCCTGCACCAGCTCCACGATCCCTGCTATACTTGAGCTCATCGTCACTGCCACTGTGTCAATCCATCTCGTTGAGGGCCTCCCCCTCTTTCGTCGACCCTCCACCCTACCAAGCATGACATCCTTTTCCAGGGAATGGTCCCTTCTGACAACATGACCAAAGTATGGAAGATAATTCTGGCCATTCTTGCTTCCAAGGAACATCCCGGCTGCACTCCCTCCAGGGCAGATTTGTTGGTTCTTTTAGCAGTCCATGGTACTTTCAGCATTCTTCACCAACACCACAACTCAAAAGCACCGACTGTTCTTGGATCTTCCTTATTCATTGCCCAGCTCTCACTTGCATATGAGGCTATTGAAAATACCATGGCTTGTGTCAGGTGCACCTTAGTCCTCAAGAGACATCTTTGCTCTTCAGCACTTGAAAGAGGCCCTTTAAAGCCAATTTACCAAGTGTTATACTTTGTCTGGGAGCTCTGGTAGCATAGTGGCTAAGGCACTTGACTGCTAACCAGAAGGCTGGTGGTTCAAACCCACCAGCCACTCCTCAGAAGGAAGATGGGGCAATCTACATCCGTAGTGATACTGCCTCGGAAACCCAAGGGAGGGGTCGCTATGAGTCGGGTCCTACTCGACGGCAAACAACAACAACAACATACTTTGTCTGATGTCCTGACTGTTGCTTCCATTGGCATTGATTGTAGAACCAAGCAATTTGAAGTTTTTGACAACTTCAGTCTTTTCTCCATCTATCGTGACACTGCTTATTGGTCCACTGCTTATTGGTCCAGTTGTGAGGATTTTTGTTTTCTTTATATTGAGATGTAATCCATACTGCAGACTTTTTCTTCAACCTTCATCAGTAAATGCTCCAAGTCATCCTCACTTTAAGCAAGCAAAGTTGTGTCATCTGAGTATGGCAGGTTGTTAATGAGTTTTCCTCCAATCTTGATGCCACATTCTTCTTCATATAGTCCAGTTTCTCGAATTATTTGCTCCGTGTATAGATTGAATAAGTATGGTGAAAGGATACAACCCTGACACATCCCTTCTTGATTTTAACCATGCAGTGTCCCCTTGTTCTGTTCAAATGACAGCCTCCTGGTCTATGCACAGGTTCCTCATGAGTACAATCAAGTGTTCTAGAATTCCCATTCTTTTCAATGTCATCCGCAATTTGTTACGATCCACACAATCAAATGCTTTTGCATAGTCAATAAAACACCAGTAAACATCCTTCTGGTATTCTTTGCTTTGAGCCAAGATCCATCTGGCATCAGCAATGATATACCTCGTTCCATGTCCTCTTCTGAAACCAGCTTGCACTTCCGGAAGTTCTCTGTCAATATATTGCTGCAACCGTTTTTGAATTATCTTCAGTGAGATTTTACTTGCATGTGATATTAATGATATTGATTTGATATTGTTTGATAATTTCCACATTCTGTGGGATCACCTTTCTTTGGAATGGGTACAAATATGGATCTCTTTCAGTCAGCTTGCCAAGTAGTTGTCTTCCAAATCTCTTGGCATAGCCAAGTAAGTGCTTCCAGCGGGGCATCTGTTTGTTGAAATATCTCAGTGGGTATTCTGTCAATTCCTGGAGCCTTGTTCTTCTCCAATTCCTTCAGTGCAGCTTCGACTTCTTCCTTCAATACCATTAGTTCTTGAACATATGCCATCTCCTGAAATGGATGGAGATTGACCAGTTCTTTTTGGTACAATGACCCTGTGTATTTCTTCCATCTTCTTTTGATGCTTCCTGCATCGTTCAATATTTTGGCCATAGAATCTTTCCAAATTGCAAGTTGAGGCTTACATTTTTTTCCTCAGTTCTTCCAGCTTGAGAAATGCTGAGTGTGTTCTTCCCTTTTGATTTTCTAACTCCAGGTTTTTGCACATTTCATTATAGTAATTGGCTTTGTCTGCTCGAGCTGCTCTTTGAAATCTTCTGTTCAGCTGTTTTATCTTGTCCTTTCTTCCATTGGTTTTAGCTACTCTTCACTCAAGGGCAAGTTTCAGAGTCTCTTCTGGCATCCATTTTGGTCTTTTCTTTCTTTCTCATATTTTTAATGACCTCTTGCTTTTTTCATGGATGATGTTCTTGATGTCATCCCACAGTTCCTCTGGTTTTCAGTCATTGGTGTTCAATGCATCAATTCTATTATTTAGATGGTCTCTAAATTCAGGAGGGATATATTCAAGGTCATATTTTGGCTCACATGGACTTGTTTTAATTGTCTTCAAGTTGAACTTGTATATGAGCAGTTGATGGTCTGTTCCACAATCAGCTCTTGGCCTTGTTTTGGCTGAAGATATTGAGCTTTTCCATTCACCTCTTGCCACAGATATAGTCAGTCTGATTCCTGTGTACTCCATCTGGCAAAGTCCATGGGTATAGCCGCTGTTTGTGTTGTAGAGAAAAGGTATTTGCAATGAGTAAGTCGTTGGTCTTGCAAAATTCTATCATGCAACCTCCACCGTTATTTCTGTTACCAAGGTCAAATTTTCCAACTGCCGGTGATTCTTCTTTGTTTCCAACTTTTGCATTCCAGTCACCAGTGATAATTAACACACCTTGATTGCATTTTCAGTCAATTTCAGACTGCAGAAGTTGATAAAAATCCATTTCCTCATCTTTGGCTTTGGTGGTTGGTGTGTAAATCTGAACAATACAAGTAGGCATATGGATATTATCCTATCACAGACAACACTGTACTTTAGGACAGATCTTGAAACATCCTTTGCAAAGATGAATGCCACTCCATTCCTCTTCAAATTGCTATTCCCAGCATAGTAGATCATATGGTTGTCTGATTCAAAATGGCCAAAACCGGTCCATTTCAGCTCACTAATGCCTAGGATATTAATTTTTATGCGTTCCATTTCATTTTGACAACTTCCAATTTTCCTAGATTCATACTTTGTACATTCCATGTTCCGATTATTAATGGACGTTTGCAGCTCTTTCTCCTCAATTTGAGTCATACCACATCAGCAAATGGAAGTCCTGAAAGATTTACTTTATCCATATCATTAAGGTTGGTTCTACTCTGATGAGGCAGCTCTTCGCCAGTTGTATCTTGAGTGCCTTCTGACCTAAGGGGCTCGTCTTCCTGCACTGTATCAGACAGTGTTTCAAGGCTATTCATAAAATTGCCCAGTAATGTATCAGACAATGTTTCTCTGCTATTCACAAGGTTTTCCCTGGCCAATTCTTTGAGAAGTGGATGGCCTCTTCCTTCTTCCTAGTCTGTCTCAGTCTGTAAGCTTCGTTGAAACCTGTGCACCATGTGCAACCCTGCTGGCTTTTGAAACACCGGTGGCACAGCCTCAAGCTTCATAGCAATGCACAAGCCACCACAGTATGACAAACTGACAGATAAGTTCATCTCCCTTAGCTCTATTTACTTAGCTTGTAAAATAGAGCCTGTCGTCTTTACCCCCCAACCCCCCCTTGTGACCATAGGACAAAATGAAGAATGAGCCCTAAATTTGGGGAGGGGGTATTGTTTGTAGGACTCTAGGTCTTCTGAGATCACCTTCAGCCTGGCAGGTTCTCCTAGGATGTGTGGGAATAAAAGGTCTGTGAAACGTGCCCTCGCCCTCAGGAGTCCTGGAGCCCCAGATAAGATCTTAGTCCAGTGGCAGTGCAATTTACAGCAAAGTTGGTGAAGGCCAGGTTTTAGGGTGGAAGATGGAGAAAAAGGGGTGGTGGTCGTGGATTGTATTATTTGGCAGTAATACTTGGTAAAAATAGCACCAAGTTAAGGCAGGAAAGGGTGGGCCTAGGCTGTAAATCTGAAGGCTAGAGGAAATCACACTGTAATGACCCAGCCTGTGGCTGTGGAGTCAACTCTTACTCATAGTGACCCCATGTGGGTCAGAGTAGAACTGTACTGCACATGGTTTTCAGTAGCTAATGTTTTGGAAGTAGATCACCAGGCCTTTCTTCTGCTGTGCTGCTAGTGGATTCTAATCGTCAACATTCAGTTAACAGCCAATGTCAAACAGTCTGTGCCACCCAGGGACCTACATTAATAACCATGACTACTATCTGTAAAATTTGACTAATCATACCAACCTCACAAACTGTCATAAGAATTGGATGAGTTAACACTACTTGTAACTCGCCTCGCACACACGGGGCCTGGTATCCAGCCGGCACTCAGCAAATGGTCCCTATTGTTCTAACTATGTTACTACACACTTGAGAACCAGCTAAAGCCGTCCCTTCCCTTCCAGACAGTGGCTTAGGCCGTTGGATACCGCAGGGATATTTAAGACAATGGTTTGCCCAGTCTACGGGGGTGCTGACAGTCCAAGGAAGGGGGCGCCCACTTCGAATTCAAGAAAGTCTTCCTGGGCTACGCTGGTCTCCCTGTCCTCCGTCTTGATCTCAAGAGCCTTCTCCCAGGCGTCAGTGCGCCCCCCGAAGGCAGTTTTCAGGAAAACCTCGGCTGGGGAGCCCGGAAGCCCAGTCCCCCCAACCCCTCTCTCTCGCCCATCCGGGCGGCCACCCTCGGGGGCGAGGCAGCCAGGCGCGTAGGAGGGGACGGCGCGCCATTGGCTTGTGCGCGGCACTGAGAGGAGGGACCAGTGCGGGCCGCCAGACTCGGGTACACCCCGGCCGCGCAGGGCGCAGCGCGCAGTCCAGCCCGGCCCTACCCCCTGCCCTACCCTGCGCGGGTGCCGCGATGTGAGGCGCCCGAACCGACCGTCCGTCCGGCCCGCCAACCCCGCGCAGCGCCGGCGCCAGCATGCGCTAGGCACGTAAGTTCTGCTCCCGCCGCCGCCGCCGCCGCTCCGGAGCCCCGCACTTTCCTCGCCGCCGGCGCCCGGCCGGTGCTTGCGCAGTGTATCCCGACAGGGCTCCTGCGGCCGCAGGGACTATGTGGGCGGGAGGGGGTGGTAAGGCTGGGACCCCGTGCGCGCGAGCTCGGTGCCTCGGGACCTCTCGGCACTCGCGGATCCGCCGGGACTCCGGGAGACTCCTCCCCGGCTTTCCTAAGGCGCCGTCCCGCAGCCCTTGTTTCTCTCTGCGCTCTCACCTCGCAGTCCCTCTCTCTGACTTGATTTCCCTCTCTTCTCCGTCACTCCCCCTCCGCTGCCTCCTTCTTAGACTGTTGATTGCACCCTCGGCCCTTCCTTGTCCGCCTTGCGCTCTCTGCTTCGGAGCGAGAGAAACAGCGAAAAGCAGTTCCTCCCTCCTTGGGGTCTGCTTTTGTCCCTCCCGCTCTGTTCCCTGTCCCCTTCCGCCTCTGTCTCTTCCCCCTCCCCTCCCCCATCATTGTGTCTGGGTCCGAGGAGTGCGCGGCACAAACTTGCGAGCTCTCCCACCCCGCCTCCGCAGAGGTGGCGGAGTTCCCGCTGCCCCCAAGTCTGGCTCCATCTCCTGGTTTCGGGGCCGTGGGGGCGGGGGTACTGGGCGGGAGGACCGTGGGCGCCCTACAGCCTGAAGCTCCACGCCTCGGGACCCGAGCTTGTCGGCCTGTGGTATCAGAAAGTGGAAGCGTGTCTGGAGCCAGGAGATGAGGAACAGATGGGGGGGGGATGCAAGGCGGGGCGAGACCCCTGCCCCCCCAGCTGGGTTAGAGCCGTCAGAAATGGTGGCTACCCCCGAGCCCCGGGGCCTGGGGCACAGGTGGAGAGAGACCCCTCCTCCTCCCGGGCCGCGCTCGTCCAAGAAGGGGCACTGTGGGACCACTGACTTCGCGCAGGGAGGGCTAGGGCCCGCTGCCGTGGACAAAATGTCCCCACCCGCCCGGTAGTGGCTGGGAACTGCAGGAGGACGGTGGGAACGGCCGACCCCACCCCCGGCGGGACACCGCGATCACTCAGAATCCCTTCGCCCCTCCTTTTTCCCAGTCCGAATCTCCAGCCGCCTCCTAGCGACCTGGAGGGGAGCAGATTTCTCTGGGAAAGATGGGGGCGGCGGCAGGAGGGGGCGGAGGAGCAGAAGCCCCAGGCTCCAGCAAAACCCTGAAGCCCACGGCCAAGTTGGCTTCACCGCTCCTCACTTCCTGGTTGGTTTCCTTGAGACAAACTTTTCTCGATGGGGCCAACCTGAGGGGAGAAGACCCCAGGACTATAGGGACGCCCACCCCAACTGTTCCGCTCTTTGGACCTTGGCTCCTGGCGGCCTGCAGAGAGCGGGCCGCGACCCTCCTCCTGCAAGCCCCGCCCCCATCCTAGGTACATGGGGATGTTGTGTTGAGGAGCCAGGAGGGGGCACTGTGCGCTCCGTTAGGCACAGCTCCACTCGGCTCTTAAACTCAGCCCTGGGGGGGGGGAGGGAAAGGTTTGCCTTTGCTGAATTGTTATAGGACACAACATATTCTCCAGTCCTCTCATCCCATCTGTAAAATGGGCCACCTAGACCCTAAGGTCTGTTCTGGCCCCAATATCCTGGGAGTCAGCGGCCCTGGCTCACATCAACATTTCCAGGTCTGGAGTGGAGAGTTGAGACTCAAAGCCCCTTCACTGAGTCCTGACCCTCACCAACTACTGCTGGAATTGCTGTGGCCTTAGGGTACTGCTGCTTCCTCAAACCCTTCCCCCTCAACTTTTGACAGACCCACCTTTGCTAAGGAGTCCTGGTAGAACCACAGTTACACTAACAAAGAAGGTTAGTGGTTCAAACCCAACTAGTTGCTCTGCGGAAGAAAGACCTGGTGGTGCTCCAGCAAAGATTGTTGTTATGTGCCACGGAGTCGGACCCGACTCACAGCAAACCCTCCTTAGGTTTCCGAGGCAGTATCACTACGAAAGTAGATTGTCCAACTTTCCTTCCGAGGAGTGGCTGGTGGATTTGAACCACCAGCCTCTGGTTAGTAGTCAAATGCCTTAGGCACTATGCTACCAGAGCTCCTCCAGCAGAGATTATGGCCTAGTAAAGCAGTTCTGCTCCGTCACATGGTGTTCCTATGAATTGAAAATCGACTAGATGGCACCTAACAACACATCTGCTGGAGAAAAGGAGGACCTGCCCCTACTGGGGAGAAAGGGTGGGTGGGGTGGGATTAACAGTAACCCCCGATATTCACACACTCCCAGGCAGTTCTTTACTTTAACCGATTGAACAAAATGTGAGCACTGTGCCCCAGATGATTTGTTGAGCAAAATACCGGGCATGGTTCCAGGCACTCAGGAGACAGCTGTGGACACAATAAAGATTCTTGCCCTCAGGCAGCAGACATTTAAAAGGAGAGGTGAACAACTAATAAAATAAGTAAGCAGATTATATAGTCTGTTGGGAGGTGAGGGGACAAAAGTCAAGTACCCAGGGATGTGGAGTTTGGGGGTGATGTTGCCATTTTAAATGGTAGTCAGGGAGGCCTTCCTGATTGCGGAGGCTTTCAAGCCAAGACTTGAGGGAGGTGAGGGAGAGAGAAGTGTGGGTAAATGTGGGAAGGGAAAAACCATGCAAAGACCCTGAGGCTGGAGTGTGTCTGTGTGTTTGAAGAACATTCCAGGAGGCCAGTGCAGCTAGGGCAGGATGAGGGAGTGGCAAAGAGATGGGAGGCAGGCAGGCGGGCTAAGAAGGCTGGAGCTCCCATTTTGCAGATGCTTAGGACACACAGCCCTAGGCCACACCCACACAGCAGGGTGGGTGTCTGATGTTCCAGCCTTGGTGCAGGGCACTTCCTTTGCACCCTGCTTCTCACTCGTTCATTCAGCAAAACTGACTAGTACCCCTCCCAGGTGCTCACAGAGGTGAGTGTTCAGGCTCAGTGTTGCAAAGAGCTCCTTGCCTCCTGGAACCTGTTCCTAGCCCCCTCCTTGGGCCTGCTAGGGTGTTAATGCACTGGGGTAGCATCTTCCTCCAGACCCCAGGTGACCCTTGTTCTCTCTTTCCACTTCCTCCCTACATCTACCTGCTAATAACACCCCTTTGGTACTGAGCGGGTTTGGTTCAGAGAGAAAGTAGGGCGAAGCAGTTGATTCCCTTTGTCTGAAAAGAAAAGTACTGATTCTTACAGAGAATTTACTACAAATTCTGTTCTGGGTGCTTCTGTACGTCTTCTCACTTGCAAGGTAGATGTTGTCATTACACCCATTTAACAGGTGAAGAAATTGAGGTACAGAGAGACACAGTCACTGGCCCTAGGCCTTGCAGGTAGTTGTTGGTGATTGTGTGCCTTTGAGTTGATTCTGCCCCATAGGGTTTCCAAGGCTGTAATCTTTAAGGGAGCAGATTGTGAGGTGTTTCTTCCCTGCCACCCTTTCAGTTAACAAGCAAGCGCTTAACAGGTGTGTCCCCTGGGCTCCTAGGAAATGGTAGAGCCAGGATGGAGGCACACACTCCTTTACCCACTCAGCTAGATTCTCCAGCTCAGGGCAGACAAGGTCCAGGACTTTGGCATTGGCTCATCCCCATCCTGGGAAAAGTACCACGACCCTTTCCCTGCCTCTTCTAACCCATCCAGGAGTTAAATCAGCCTTTGCTTCTGAAAAAGTTGGTTCAAAATCGGGGACCATTCCTTTAAGGAAATTCCCCTCCTGCCCTCCTCTCCTCCCCCTGCAAGCTCCCCAGCAGCCTTGGGGGTTGTGGGGTGGGAGCCATGGAGTGGTGAATTCTTGTAAGAGCTCAGGCCCCATGGGATCCCCAGAAGCCGGGCTGTCCCTGTGACAACACCAGCTGCCCTTGAGGGCTCTGACCTGGTCACTGGGCTGAGGGGGAGTCTGGCCCAGTCCTGGGTCAAAAGGGACAGAAATTCTCCGAGTTACAGTCAAGCCAGATAAGTCCTCTGAGTATCAGTGTTGGAAGCTTGTCAGAGGACTGGCTTCCCACCCCCACTGGGCACACTGCAGGTTCCAGACCCCTGGGTGAGGGTCCTGGGGCTGTCTCCTCGTCTTTGCCTCCTGCCCTGCCCTCTACCTACCTCCAACCTCATAAGAACAGTTTATGTTTAGTCCCTGACCTTGGTGGTGGTTGTTTGTGATGAACGTTTAGGCTTCCCTCCACCTTTCTGGAAACTGAATGCCTTCAAAAGAGATGGAGAACTAGCAGAGGTAGAAATGGGGAAGATGTGAGTCACTCAGGCAGTGAGAGAGGGGGTGGGGTCCGGGGGTGGGATAGCCTGAGTGCGGGCCTCGTGTGTGGCTAGTCAGAGGCAGCGTGTCAGAGTCGGAAGGGGCCCTGGAGACCACACTCCCATTGTTTTAGATGAGGAAACTGAGTCCCAATGAGGGACTGTGGGCCACCGGCGACAGAATCTGAGTGTGCCCTCAGCTGCCCTGTCTCCCGGCCCAGTGACTCCGTGCATACACACCAGTCTCCTGGTCCATCGCCAGCCCGAGCCCGACCTCCCTTCCTCCCTCCCTTTGGTTCAGGTTCCTGGAGGTTCTTGTGAATGGGGGGTGGAATCCTGTTGTTGACCTCGGAGTTTGGTCATGGGGATGAGGTTCTCACAGTCCCCCTTCTCTCCCCCGCTGATTCTCGTCTTTGTCATCTTCACCCTCAGCAGCAGCTTGACAGTGAGCCTGGCAGAGATGCTGGGATGATGAGAGGGATGGGTGATACAGCCCCGCCTGCCTCAGCTCCTGATCAGCTTGAGAGACAAGTCTGACTAAGCAGGCCCGGCCTTTGGGATAATTACACTCTCCAGGGACTGGC